TTAAGCATCATTTGCAACGTGGCGGTGACCTTGTTTCACCACCCAGTTAACTTAGTAGCTTAGCGATCACGTCAGCACAGAAATGGAAGGGCTTTTATGTGCAGAATTTGCAATCTGCCAAAATGAAACAGAAACAAGTGCGTGACACAGCAGTGGAAAGGGGCCAGCTGTGGCTTAGGACACGTACAAGGCTAATGCATGTTTAAGGCTATAAATGAAGTGAAATATCAAGTGCTTTTGGGGAAGAAAGCCGCAGCCATTCATTCTGGCCTGGACAAGCTGGCTGTGGTCGTATGAATAGAGGGTGGGACGAGGTGGGAGAGGGGCGAGCGTTGAGGTTTGTGCGACTGTGTGCGACTCCCCCAAAATTTAGCAAAGAGCTGTATTTTTGCACGGATGAAAGATGCATGTACACGAGGGTTTCTGTGGGGGTTGGGACCCAAAAATGGGCTGCGGCTGTTTCTGGTGGCTTGCCACATGACAAGTGTAATAGCATGTTTTCATGGGCCTGGGTGCCAGGGTGAGACTAAATATCTCATTTAGGTCACCGGCTATAAAAGTTTTAAAACCCCTGTTCTACATATACCCCAAACTGGCAACCTAACTTGCCATAAATGTAGGCTGTGTTGTCCCGTATGTCAACACATCCAATCTGAAACTGGCCAGTAGCCACTAACTGTGCTAAATGAGCCTTCAGCTGGTGCAGTGAAATCATCATGTTGTGCTGTGACGTTACTCGTGTCCTGTGCCCCTCATGAGTTTAGCGCTGCTTTTTCATTTCAGCCTTGCAAATAGTTACATTTACAGGTGGGAGCCAGCACGGTACTCTTGATTTTGACTCCTCTTCAAACAGTCTCTTGAAAGCAACAGAAAAATGCTTTGAAGGCCTGTTCGCACACGACTAATATTACACCTGTGGACATTAAGTTTCTTGTAATAATTGCTATCATTGGTTATTTTAATCCTGCATGTCTGTAATTTGTAAAGTTCTGGTGTAAATTACCGTCAGCACAGTGGCAGAGACAGTTCTCCTCTGATAACAGTAATCCTGTATGAATCAAGCTTCAGCTGACTGCTGCTGGACTTTTCTTTGTTTTGTTATTCCTGTTCTAGCTCTTTGTATTCTGTATTCTGTCAGCCCCGTGCTGTATATAAATTTGTGATTCCACGTCAGAAAGTGTAAATTGTAAATTATCAGCTGTATACCCATTTAGAAATTACATTTTATTAAACCAATACCAGAATGGAATAGGAGCGTTTTGAAATACTTTTTAGGAAAAAACAAGTTTTTAATTAGGAGATATCTCAAAACTGAAAGCACATGTTTGGCAGAGACTTAATTAATACATTTTAGTGCACAGTGAATGAGACTTAATGGCACCCTGTGGAGTTTTTGCACTACTAGCACCAAGAAACAAATTAAGCAAAGCACCAGAAAAATGGGCAGAGAAGAGGGAAACTGCTGATGTATGCAAACAGTGCAGTTTCCAAATGATTCAATCAGCTTTGCAAATGTTGTATGAGAACTGAAATGTGTTCTTCTGTTAGGCCTTGAAGATACACATATTTTAGTGAGAAACACTGAATGTAAATATTATACTGACTGTTTACAAGAAACCCACGCAGGGTACCTTTTAATACATTTCAAACATGCACGATAATGATCTTGTCTGTCTTGGCCTCCCTATCAGACAAAGAATCTCACGATGCCATCCTACCCGTCCCCGAGTCCATGCAGCCCCAAACCAAGGTGCCCATATATGGAAGAGACCACATCAGCAGTCGGAAGGCACAGGCCATGAAGCAGGCCAAGGACCGCAAGAAGCAGCTGGCCAGGCTGGGACCCACCAGCAATCTGGATTTCTCACCGCTCAGCCTGGATAAACTGGAGCCTGAGTTTGTAAGTGAAGTAGAGATTACAGAGATGCATACCAGTTTTGGCCTCACAGATTCTGACATTCTGAGCAACTTTCTAAACCATATTTTGTTTGGATATTGGCAAACAAACAGCTTACTTACAATCAGAAAAGTCTCAGATACTGCATCCTACGGCGTCAGGCTTTATAAAGCAACCAGTTCTGACAAATCAGCCAAGATTCCCCACAGGGCCACTTTCACACCTGACAACATGGTGCGAACAGAGTGAAATGCCAAATTACTTAAAGTCCTCATTCGTGGAGGTATTTCCCGCCTCCTTATTCTTGATTTCTTGGGAATTTCACAAACTTTCAAGGACATTTTGAACCATAATCTTTAACTCTGGCATGCACAAATACACATTTTGATCGTGCAAACACTCACACCTGTGTATGTAATAGCAGGGACCCTGTGGGAGGAGACTGGATAATCTCATTCAGAGCATGAAGGACACTTCTAGGGTCTTGGCTCTCTCTCTGTACATCCCCAACTGTGACAAGAAGGGCTTCTTCAAGCGCAAACAGGTATGGATAAATTTTTGTATGTCAGGCCATTTATTCAATCCAAAAAACAGCATTTTGAGACAAACACAAAACATTTTAACTGTCCAATAAAGCAGAAACACCACAAGAAACGATTGAAAACAAGCCTCTCATCCCTTTCTGGTAACTCTTTACTTGCAGTGTAAGCCGTCTCGTGGTCGGAGAAGGGGGATCTGCTGGTGCGTCGACCGGTTTGGCATGAAAATCCCCGGCATCAACTTCACCGAAGGAGACCTGCAGTGCAAAGACCTCGACAGCAGCAGCAACAGCAACGAATGAGAGCGACCTGGTCGTACCCGCTGAGCCCTGATCTTCTTAAAACCTGTCAATCAAGCTAGCACACTTTATGACTGCCAATCAGGAAAATATGGCACAAATACTTATACATATATGGTCAGGTGTGACGGACTGCGTTGTGTTGGGGTTTTTTAAAGGGGAGCTGAACCGAAAAGCTTGCTTTGGGTGAAAATCTGCTCACGTAGGTCTTAACTCTGGCTCTCCACTGACTGTGTACTATGTTCGAGGTTAGCTCACACCTCACCTCTTTATATCCATAGATAATAGAGGATTATATATATATGTGTATGATAATGATAATATGTTGTGTACTTTTGAGTCTATTTCTAAATTTACTCCAAGAAAAGACAAGACATATTTTAAATGTGGCTAAAAATCTATATTTTTTTCATATTTTTGTCATGATGATCAACATGAGAGAATGACAATTACAAGACACCATCGAAGAGTGAGTCAGCTCTCGTCTAAATTAGCAATGTTTAACTAATTGTTAATCGCGTGAATGGCGTTCTGAAGTAAGAATATTTTTTTAATATATCAAATAATGAGTTAATCCAGGGTATATTATATTGTCATCACATGGGAAAATCAACTTGTGAATGAGCAGGAGACGGGCAGAAACAGCTGACAGCCATTTCATATGCCATGTCAGCATTATAGCATTGTTCAGCATTCAGAAAACCATTGGCCAATTAGTTTTCACTAACTGGAGTTTAATCAGTCGCTAACAGAAGCCTATACACTTTAAGGAAAAGCTTGACATTTTGGGAAAGAGTTAGACGAAAAGATTGATACCACTCTCATATCAGTCCGTTAAAGCTAAAGCCAGCAGCTGGTTAGCTTAGCTTAGCTTAAAGAGCTTGGCCCTGTCCAAATGTAACAAACCAACTCTAAAGCTCACTTATTAACATGTTTTGTGTCTTTTTTTAATCTGCAGAAAAGCCGTTTTATGGGGGGGGGATTATGTGCCAAGGCTCCGCTGGTTGCCTGGCAACCGCTCAGAGCCAAGAAATAGAAACCTTGAAACTCAAAAAGACTCAACATTCAACATTAAATTTAGGCAAATTAAATGAGAAACCAACAAAAGCATGCTTATGACTCATGTAAATGTTTTTGCTAGTTAGAGATGATTATTTTCTACATCTCTCGCCATAACTGTAGCTCATTATTCTGCCACTATCAGATGAGTCCTGTATGTTTCTGCTTGTCAAACTTGGTTGTATTTTAGGCAATCATGCCCTCGTTAGGTGATATTCTGGACCCCCTCATGTTACTTTCATGAACAAGCAATTAGGGATAAAACTCACTCAAAACATACTGTAATGTACTGTAAAAGGTTACATATATAACACTCGCCACACACCTTTCTCCAGTCCAGACAACTGCGTCCACTGTTTGTAAATGTATGTACAGTGTGTGTGTGCATGCTCCTGAGTGTGTCTGTATGTGTGTGTACTGTACTGTATATGTGCCATGCCCTTATAGTTCTCAACTAGAAAAAGCTCTGGTTTATATTCTCACAAGCCCAGCCTATCCAAGCTAGTGTTCGACAAATCCGGTGCCGTGCATTTCCCTTCGAACGCAAATCGTATGCAAAGGATCCGTGTTGTTTATGTTTCCATCAGTAGGGTCTTCAGTGCCACCACACAGGCAAATCTGTCGGCCGATGGTGACTTGCTCTCAGGGTTTATTGGGTCCTAAGAGCGAGGTTGCTGAGTTTGTATGTAAATTTAAGTGCCTTCTGCCCCATGCCTCTTTGAATTTTGATTTGCATGTGAACCCATCGTGTCGTTGAATGAGGGATAGCACAAAAGAGGAAAACAATTTCACGTGTGGATGTGGTCTGAAAGATTTTTAGTTTGATTATGGTTTTAAGTTGGGTGCTGACAAAGATTATGGTGATCTCCCTGTCGAGCGCTGCTGAATGTACACGACAAGAGGATAACATTTTTGTTCTATAGCTCATAAATTGCCTAAAATCCCTTTCTTGTTGTTATAATGTCAATGTTCAATAAATGATTCTTATAATCTCAGACATTCCTAATGCCTAATCTCTATATCCTGATATTGGGAGAGGGGGTTCTTTATCCAGTTATTTCCAATGAAACCCCTTCGTTATGCTGTTGTTTCTAGCACACATGTAAACACAACACATTGACACTTTCAGAATCTCAGTTAAAAGAAAAGATTAATGTGAACATTATGGTGAAATATTTATCAGGCGTGAAATTGATGTACTTGTTTTTTTTTGTAATAACAAATCACTATTTAAATAAAGTTCATGTACTCACCAAAATGCATATCTGCACTTTTGTCTTAAACATGTGACCTCTGCTAAGATTATAAATTGTTGAGTCAGTGGCTGTGTTGTTGTTTTTTTTGTGGCTTTCTATCTCGATGACCTTGATGCTAAAAGGCACTCACGTGGGTCTCCATGCCGGTTGTTGCCATCTCTTGCCAAAGGCAAAACTGTTTGCTGTGACATTACATGACACATGTTTTGAAAGATTCAACCCATAGAGGGCAGACCAGACTGAAATATCTCAGAGTAATGGCCAGTCCCATATTTAAGATCGTTGATACACATTTACACCACAAAGGCAAAATTTTTCCCAGGATTGGAAAAGTTTGCGCTAATGCTCTGCTTCAAGTGCACCGAATTCAAAGTGTGTCCACAAATTAAAACACACAGACAGGCACAAATTGAATTTATTATCATTTTAATGGCGTTATCTGTTAATGAGGCATAACAGTAGTCTGCAAGCTACAACACGAAAAAACAGCTAAAAACACCAAATATGTTGAAGGCTTTTCATTTTTCAACACATACAGTACAAAACACTGATAACAGAGCAAATCTGAGCAAATTCACAATTAGTAAAGCAAAGTCACCAACACTCCCGCTGACATCTACCAAATATCTATGAGGAAAAAGGATTCTAATCTTTACTTCTCCTAAGAATAATCTGCAGTTACATCCTACGCAGCAAGCTGGATTCTATCATTTAATCCTTTTTGGTGGTTACGTTTTCAAATTTCACTGTCATCAAATGAACTAGAGACACATACACACAAAAAGATAATATATAGCTTACTCAGATGTTCTTTGTTCCCAAGTACTTTACAGTTTGTTTGATTTTTTGTTTGTTTCATGCCATACTATATCTGGTCCATGTCAGGGAGCTCCAGGTCCATCTCACTGAGGTACTGGCTGCAGTTGGGGTCACCCCTCACGGTGGGGGCTGATGGGATAGGTCGTCCGGTGTGAGGGTTGACGCACCAGCACTCGCCCCTCTGACCATGGAGAGACATCTTGCACTGAAACACAAAACGCTGTGTTGTAGTTTATTTCTGTGTGTTTCTATGTCATTTTTGTTCATGGTGACAACCCTGAATATGTATAATATATGTTGCTTGTGCAAAAATACACAGAAAAAGTGTGTATTATCAGTTTTACAATGCACATATTCCAATAAGATCCCCGTTTTTTTATTAAAGCACCTATATTCAAATAAGTATCTTAATAATAATAATGCTTTATTAAGAGTATTCACAAAATAAATGCTAAACAAATGTGTTTCTATGATTTAGTAGAAGATAAAGTGACATAAATTAACTGTAGCCAGACTTAGAATTTGGTAAGTACATCAAGGGGTAAACAAAGGATTCAGCGGTTTTTGGCTATGAAAATACAATGATGCTTTACCCACCTTCTCTCCTCTAAATACTTGCATATTATCAGGTGGCTACACCCTCTCCACCTACTATCCTCTTTTCCCAAATGCCTGGAGTCACCTGTTTGAGGTTATACTGCCCCCTCTTGTCACAGTTGGGGATGTGCAGGGCGTACAGGTCTTCCAGGGGACCTCGGTTATCTCTGAAGGGCATCTTGGATATCCTCTCCAGGATCTGGTCGAGCTCTTGCTGACACTGAGTCTTGAAAACAGCGAGGACAACAACAATATAGTCATGTGCGCAGGCCCGTATCGCATGTGTTGAGAGTGAAATGCGGTTGGCCTCTGGCAAAAAATGTCCTGTACAAATTATCCCATTCAGTCAAATGTCCGTGCAGAGAAATGAGAGTTTAAAATAGAATATAAAAAAGTCAAATCTAATCTTTTTATATAGCTTCTTTAAATGTTTTATTTAGAAAATCTGAAATCTGATTTTAATAAAGCTTTAATAAAGTCCAGGCACACAACAGAAAACTATTCCAGATACATCAACACCGAGATGTGTTTGCAAGGCAATCACTTTTTTCACTTGCTATGCTACATAAAATCTCAAAAGACACACAGATTCATGCACATACACACAATAAAGCTGAAGGGCTTTGTGTAATGAGCAAATGAATCATGTTTTCTTGCCAGTAATGAATAACGACTCTTGCCAGTGACCTCAGGTTTACCTCACAAATCGACAGAGCCAAATGTCTTGTTGAGACAGTTATAAGTTTCTGGTAGAGCAATAACCTTTAAATGATTTTTATGGTGGATGGAAAATACCACGATGCCTGTTATAAATGCCCTGGGTTCACCCGTGAGTCCCAGCTCCAGGATACAGAGCGAGTCAGGTGTATTTAAGGTCAGTAATTATCTGGATTTTGATTAAAGGGCAGTGACTGGTGGGAGTGTTGAACGAAAGAAAAAGGAACTGGAGAAAAAAAGCATTTTCTTTGTGCCATGACTGTCTTAATCCACTTAAAATGATTATTTGGTCTACCGCAGCATCCATACATCAACAGCTGCTGTACCAGAGGGGGGCGGCACTGCGCTCCTGTTTTCTTTCCTTAGTAGTTTTACAAAAGACCAGCATTAGCTGACTGTTCTTATTACTCCATACATTACTTTTTCTTCTCATAGTAAAACACCTGTTGTCACTCACACAGTGCTTTGTGTTTAACTCCAAACTTTAACTTACTGTCCCTATTTATTCTGGGTTGCAACCTCTATGTGACACTAGATATAAATATAAGGAGCTATAAGGTTCTTTTGTACTAGAAAACAACTCCTGTTTGGTTATAAGACCTTTACCAGCAAGTAAAACCCTGATACTAGGAAATAATGTTGAAGAAATCCTCTTAATGGAAATACTGAGGAATATCTTAAGACTACAAGAAGCAAAAATGGACATTACACAAGACTCAAGAGTCACAAATTAATCCATCAGCAGGATTGCATGAGTGATGGAAAACATTTGAATGTGTTTCCCATTCAGTTTTTGTTTTACTGTTATTATTTAATGTTGCAGATCTTTTGCCAATTAAGGTCCCAGTGAGAGAACAAAAGAAGAAGAAAAAGCGCTCTGGTATCAGGATGATTTATGAATCCAAATTCCAATTCATCAAATATGTCAGTGATGACAAATTGCTTACAATTTATAAAGTTGAAACAGCAGTCAGATGTTGTTGCCACAAGATGTGATTTTATGCCTGAAGGTACGGGAAAGGAAAAACTGACAAATTGTTACACATCACGCATGAAGAAAGTAAAACATCTGGTGTGAAAGTTCAACCTACATTTGTGATTATGGCACATATGTATATATAATACAAATGCTACAATTCTCGGGGGAGGGGGGTTATTCAGGCCTTTCTAAACCTCTTCTGGTTGATTCCCAGGCTTGGGTTTAACATTTCTAGAGCTTAGAACATACTTTCTTAGCCACGCCTCACCTGTTTGGGCCGTGCAGGTTTCACCTCTTCCACCTTGTTGGTCTTCATCTTGGTCTTCATCTCGTGTCTGTGCTGGCGTACAGCGCTCTCTTTGGGTCCCAGCCAGGTGGTCTCTTTACTGGGCTTCCGGATGGCCGGGACCTCACTCACACCCTGCTCAGGAAGCGGCTCTACAACCTCCCCTGCAGACACAAAGTCCATGAAATGTAAATATAAGGATCACAACTTTCTACTATAGTTCACAGTGTAAATTAAAAAGAGTGCATTGCGGAGTAGAAAATAAATTGGCCAGGAAAGGACTTCAGAGTCTTGTTCAAGGACTCTTTGACATATTGGCTACAAAAAGCATTCAACCTGTGACTTTTCAGGATGCTCTCTCTGTGCACTTAGCTGCTCTGTTGTCATTTTGGTAATGGATTGGGCTTTTTAGAGGCTGGAAGTGGGCTGAAATAAGCTTCAAATTGCACAGATCATTTGTCACAGTGACAAAGTTAGAGGTCTGCTCTGCTAAAAAGGTTTCTGGAAATGGCAGAGATGACGCTGATCCTGCACTCTTTGCTCCTTGAGGGGAATAAAATGAAAAAGTTCTCCCTTTTTGATAGACTAGAGATAAATGCAAGATGCCTCATGTCCTAACAAACAGACTCCTTTTCCTTCATCATAAAATTGGGAACAAATTGATCTGTCCTGATGAAAATGTAATGTATTGTTCTATGCAATCTAATTACCCTTTTCTATTTGATTCATATATTACATACTCATTTATGTATTTTATTTTTTGCTGGGGAGTGGATTAATGAACATAGAATATAATCTGAATTTTCCCACATCCCTCCCACTGTGTCCGACAGTTGGTCCTAATTAACTACGGGAGCCAAACGGCCAATTCGGGGAAGGCCGTCCGCTGATCTAGCTCACCTGCACCCTCCAGGATATAAAAGCTAGAATATGACCTCAACTTTTCCTTCAGCTGGCTGTCACTCTGCCTTTTCTTTCTTTTAATTTTGGCACAATTCAAGGCCTCCACAGCAAATATATCACTCTGACTTTGCTAATTTCCACTCTCTATTGTTTATTTGATTCAGGTTCACATTTTGTGCAAGTTTATTTATTTTTTTTAGTTTGCGACAATTTTCCACATTGTCACAATTTACATATTCTCTAAAGATAGTGTTGGGAGGGCGAGGGGGGGTAACCTCTGAAGTGTCTAAACCACTGTTAAAGTGCTCTGAAATGCATCAGCACAATCAGTGAGTCACTACATACAATCCTTTCCTTTCTCATAGAGCGAAGCAACCACATGCAGCTTCGTTAACAAGCTTGTGGGCTGAAAAAAGTTGGCCGCTGCTGAACCTTAGTCA